GGGGTGTGCTCTTGGCTTCCTTTGTCGGGCTCACTGCCCAAGCCTCAAAAAGGTTAACGCTTTTGAATTATAGTAGGGTTATATTAATACGCCCGAAAAGGTTGAAAAGGCTACCTACTCAGCCCCTAAGTAGCAAGGCTTTTGTTACCTTGGTTATTTTCCCTAAATCCTAAACCCTTAACCCTAAACCCCTAAACCCTAAATCCTTAAACCCTAACCCCTGGACCCCTTGGTTACTTCTCCGTGCCCTAAAGCCAACCCCGGAGTAGATGCCAGCGGACAGCTTCTTTCTCAGGGATCTCTCCTGTCGTCCGAGCCGAACAACTTAGGGTTTAAGGGTTTAGTTAAGGGTTTAAGGTTGCTTAGTTTAGGGTCTAGGGTTTCGGGCTCGTGGTATAGGTTAAGCTTTGATTAAAGGTCCTGCCGGTAAGAGTGTAAACTTTGTAGATCAATCGGATTCGGCTTAACCAGAGCCGGTAGGGATCCCCAAAGCCAACCCCTAAAAACTTGGAAATTTCAAGTTGCATTACAAGCCACACTAGACCTAAACAAATTCAGTGCACAAAGCAGCTACCCGGTCCATGTTGTAGAAACTAGAATGCTAGAAGTCAGCACAAGTCCACATCTAGCAATATCTACAATCGCCCGCAATCGCGAAGGAAGCGTCAAGCAACTGCGGTTGCTTTGAGTTTAGCTTATCTTGACACTGAATTGAAGAGCTCCTTGTTGGGTCTTATCGTAGCTGCTAGCTACAGGAGGTGACTCGATTTACACTTGCGTGTCTTGGGCTTCTTACGTACCACGTCTGAACAGACACCTCAACACCCCTCAACGCTGAAACCTAAACCCTCCACAATAGCCACAGCCTTAAACCGTAAAGCCCTGAACCCTGAAACCCTAACACCCTAGCAGCAGTCCTTGAAACCTATTCCTTTCAACCTCTCTTTCCAAAACTCCTGAAGCCCTACAGTGCCAAACGGCTGGTACTTGAACATCACTAAACCCTCAACCCTAGCTTACTCCCTACAAACCGATTTTATAATAATTATAAGCCTACCTAAATAGGGTAGGTTAGTTACGGTAGAAGGTAAGCCCTAGACCCTTAAAACCTAAACCCTAAACCCTTAAACCCTTAAACCCTAAGGCCTAAATCCTTAAACACTAAACCCTAAGCCCTAAACTCCCCTTCGGCCGGAGATCCGTGAGTGAGTTCAGCCAACAACGACTTTCGGAGGGGCGAGAGGCTTCCCCCCTCCAGGTTCCCAGAGAGCGCACTTCGGTTTAGGGTTTATGGTTTAGGGTTTACCTAGACCCCCCAACTACCCTTTAGTATAGCCTAAATACCCGCTATTATGGGGCACCAGTAAAGGGCTCTTGGGGGGTGCTGGCAGGGTTTAGGGTTTAGAGCACACTACCTCTCCATTAAGCCCCCAAAACCTGATTCAAACCATCAAGAACCCACCGTTTTAGGGGGCTTTGGGGACAAAAGTTCAAGGCGGTAGGGTGTAAGAGCTTGCGGTTTGGAGCACAGGGCTGAGAGTTAGGGCTTAATCTTTTTTGTTTTAAGTTGTGACGGCTCTTTCTTTGATACGCCCACCAGTCTTGCACACAATCCTACTCTCAGACGTCACCGAAGTCGGCCCCAATGACACCAAAAGTCAGCATCACACGCGTCTCATTCACGAACATCTCAAGTTGATTTCGGCTTTAATTAGGGTTTAGGGTCGTCCTAGGCCATAGACCCACAAGGGCAGGGCCAAGCCCGCCCCTCTCGCGTGTGGCTATGTCCGGATCGCTGATGCGCCGTAGAGTTCGACAGCGCGTCGCTTTCGGGTTTACCGAACCCCAAACGAATCCCTAAACTCTCAACCCCAAACCCCTAAACCCCTAAACCTTAGGTACGGCCCCCTTACAGTAAGAGTCTATAATAGGGCTACTATTAAGGTCCTAATATATCGATATTATGAATATGACTCAACTATTAGTGAGTGGGGGCCGTACCCAACCTAAACCCCTAAACCTCAAAACCCTAAAACATTAAACCCAACAACCGCATCAGAGGGTGCAATTCGTTTCACCCAAACGCTGCAACACACGACCCGTTAACCTTAGATCCTCAAGCCGGAGGGTGCCGGAGCCCTGAACTTCCAATCCATAGTCCCCCAAACTAAACTCATGGGACTTAGTAAGTAAGGGCTTAGGGTTCCCTTTAAAGGGTACTATAGGGTTCTGAAATAAGGGTTTAGGGTTTGGGGTCTACTTAAAGGCCAATGGGACTTAGTAAGAAAGTTATAAGTATGTTATAATTAGGGTAACCCCACTTCCGGGGCTGATAACCCCAGTTATAACCTACTTACTAAGTCCCATGATCCTCTCAGTAAATCCTAAACCCTGAAGCATAGAAGCCCACACTCAACTCCCAAAGTCATCTAAATCCCAAAAACTTGCATCGTAAACCTTCAACCCTAAACATTAACCTTTATATTGTAGCGACGTTGCAAGCAATTTCATTCGGGCTTGAGGGGTATGGTACATCATAATCATATCAAGTAACCCTAAGAAATACGATTCAACAAATAAGGCCCAACTAAACCCTAAACATCCGTAAACCCCATGCATATACTGGCCCTAGGGAATACTGTCACTAGTAGTTCAAGCTTCGGAGAATCTGTTTGTTGGTCTCCGGTGATGCAAGCCTAAAGTTACTTCACGATACACAAGAAAAGCCAAGCAGCTTGCAGTTCAGAAAACCCAGTATAAACGTTGGGTATTGGAGAAGCTAGTTGTTGTGACTTTAGAAAGCCCTAAACCTGGTCCTCAAACCCTAAAACGTAACCCCTTCAGGTACGGGAGCGCGCTGCAAGCCAAACTCACACAAAGCATCGGAGCTCATCAGAGCAGAGGGTACAAGCCGAAGTTCCACAATGGGACTTAGTAAGTAGTTTATAATTGGGGTTATAAGTCCCCGGGGTTATCCTAATTATAACCTACTTATAACCTTACTTACTAAGTCCTATGAGCCTTTAAGTAGGGGCTGCACAATTTAAAAAGCTGTTACCTCGGAGTAGCGATCATCCCTAGGTGTGTTTTGATGAGACAGTGTGGGGCAGTGTTTACTCAACATCCAAAACTCCAGACTGGACAGAATTCGGCCATTTGCCATCCCCCTTTTCCCACATGAGCTTCAAGACTGCTTCTGAGTGCCCTCCTTAAGAGGTCACACTTGCCAGACATGGAACGTGAACTTGTGGGGTATTGAGAAGTACTGATGGGGCATTGTAGGTTCTCGTTACGCGGCTTAGTTTAAGTTACCAGAATAGCTTCAAATTAAGAATAACGAGCTTTTCCTGGGGCTCAGTGCATTAGGGATTAGGGATTAGTTTAGAAATTGGGGTTTAAGGACTGGGTTTGGTTGCAGAGTAATTGCAGGTCTGGCACCGGACTCCGTCAATCATGAAGGCGAATGGCTCTACATACCACTCGGTAATTCCGCAAGGTCTAACACAGGGTTCGGGTTTAGGGGCGATACGTCCAGGGCAACTTTTTGCAATACAATGATAGTTTACTCTAGCTTGAGCAACCCTAGACTAGACCCTAACCCCTAAACCTTAAACCCTAAACCCCTCAAACCTCCGACCGGAAGACCTACCGACTCAGCGACGGGGCCTCAACAAAACACACAAACAAAAATTAGGATACGGATATCCCATACTACCCCTCGTTATAACGAAGCCCAATAAGGCCGGGGTGGCCCTGTGAAATGCTTGTGATGCCTATCTCAAAGCCCTACTAAACCTCAAACAAAAGCCCTACCAAACCTGCAGCCATTAAATCCTAAAACCTGCAACCCTTATCTCTAGACTCTAGACATTCATGTAAATCCCCACGTCGTACAGGACCTAAACCCCTCAACCCCAAACATCAAGACCTCTTAAACTCTTACTATACCCCCATGGCTCGCAGCATAGGGGTCGGCAAGAATTACTGACAGCATCCCCTCATATGCCAAAAACATTTCCGTGCAATGGAACCCCGCAGCCCCTTTTCAATCTTCTACTACTGTCTGGTTCTTAGTAGGGAATGGGGCAATGGATCGCCATAGGAGCCCGATATAGTCCCCAATAATAGCCTCCACAATCCATTCCCCCATTCCCTACTAAGAACCAGATAGGCTATTTTGCATTATGAACATTAGTACTATGATGATGGCTATTGCCTCATTGCTAGAGATCTAGGGTTTAGGATTTGGGGATTTGGGGTCACAGGGTTAGGGTTTAGGGTTTGTATAAGGTTTAGGGCTTAAGGGTTTAGGGGTTTAGAGTTTGGGACCTCAAGAGGATCCATTAAGGGATCTGGAAGGGCTTGCACAAGCTATGACCCAGAGACTCCAATATCCCTTAATTAAGGAATATTTCGTAAATTCTGGTAGGATACCTAATATGATTTAAGGTATGTTCCTTAATTAAGGGATATTGGAGTCTCTGGGGAGGAGATATCGTCACAAACGGTTCCGACACCTAGATGCAACTCGAAGCCTTCGCCTTTGGACAGACTTTGTAATCTCGGATGCAGGTTTCACCTTGGGGGTCCAGAGTTTAGGGTGTCCCTTAAGTGCCCGGGGACTTTGGGCTCAAGGCAAATTCCTCTAATCAAAGGGGAAAAGGAGGGACCCTTCATGGGGACCCCTACCTTATAATGGGCTATATAATGGGTATATAATAGCTATATTGAGGGTATATACCAAGGGGTCCTTATTATGCGTCCCTCCCCTTGGATTTAATGTCAAGGACGCAAGATGTTTGTCGGCGGAGGCAGGGTTTAGGGTGTAGGCAAAACAACTAAACCAAATGCCCGGGACCTACTTGTCGGGTATCACGGGGAACAGAAGGTTAATTAACCTTTTTGGCTATATAGGCATTATATAGGGGCTCGACTACCCAGAAAAGGTTAAAGGTCACCTACTCGAATAGGGAGAACACAACCCTGAATACCAATCGCCTTCACACGGACTGAAATCGCGATCGATCGTCGGGCGGCTTGTCAGGCCGCGTCGCGATTACAGACGGATTCCGGGCCACATTTGGGCCCTCAGTTTGAGCTTGGACCCGGTCGGTGTTGTCCTGCGTCGGCAAAAAATCTTCGACGAGCCATAATTTGGGGTTGTTTTGGGTTCGGGTTTGGATTTAGGACTGGGTTTAGGGTGTAGGGTTTCCAGGTAGTTGACAACTTCAACATGCGGGCATTCAAGGCCGAAGCCCGACACCAGAGGCGTCCACAGCTTTCTGAACAGAGGGAGGCAGCCTTAAGTTTCATTTGGTTTAGGGTTTAAGGTTTGGGGCTGTAAATCTAGGAAACCGTTGGCGACAGGGCTTTGGGGAGTGCTGAGGCTTCGTGGTGGTGTGCTTCGAGCCCTACAAACCAAACTCTCCCCGGGCCTAGACCTATACTAGAAGCCAGAAACTTAGAACATTAGACTCCTCATGCCCTTAAGGAAGAGTATAGGGGATCCTAGCACGAATCCTCCTAAAGCCATGTTCAAACTTTCTGGCTTCCACTGTAGAGCCCTGGGCCCCAAACGCCAGCCCACAAGCCCCAACAGCTGGACACCTTAGGTACGGCCCCCATACAGTAAGAGTCTATAATAGGGTTACTATTAAGGTCCTACTATATCTATATTATGAATATTATTCAACTATTACTGAGTGGGGGCCGTACCTAATGAACACCCTTGATCAGGGACTTTAGGGTTTAGGGTTTAGGGATTGGGTGCTCAAAAACAAAAAGTGATCTTCCTACGACCCCGAACCCTACACGCCAACCTCCTGAAACCATAACTGCCCTACAGCCTCATACCTCCCTAGAAGCCCCTACCCCAAGTGTGCTTCTAGCAGCACCTTTACTAGTATGGCTGCCGCCCTATAACCTGCCTGAGAACCAATGCCCCCAACCCCAAACCCTAAACCCGAAAATGCTTTAGAGCCGGGAGCCTGGAACCCCAAATCTTCCTACAATTTCCTGAAGCTCCAGAAACCTAAACCACGAAACTCACAACCTAAGCCCAGCCCCTAAACCCTAAATCCCACGCCCCAAACCCTAACGCCTAACCCTGAACCCCCAGCCCCAAAACCCCAAACCCTCATAGAACCCCAGTAGATGCCTTTATGGGAACCCTTTGAGCTAACCCCTAACTGACTCCTAGCCCCTAAACCCTAAGCCTAAACCCAAAACCCTGAACCCCCGATCCCTAACCCTTCCTAGACCCCAAAGCGCTAAACTAAACCCGAACCCACGACCCTAACTCTCAACCCTTCCCCCTAAAAGCTCTAAACCCCCAAACCCCAACCTCCAACCCTAAACCCCTAACCCCTAACCCCTAAACCCCTAAAACCCCTAGACCCTAAACCCCAAACCTTAAACCCGAAACCCTAAACCCCTAAACCTCAAACCCTAAACCCCCAACCCTAAAGCCTCCACCCCTAAACCTCAAACCCTAAACCCTTCACCCCTAGACCCCAAACCCCTAATCCCTACCCCGTCACCCCTAAACCCCTACGTGGAGGATCATGGGACTTAGTAAGTAGGTTATAGTTGGGGTTATAGGTCCCCTAAGTGGTTTTATCCTAAAAAATAAGCCTACTTATAACCTCACTTACTACGTCCCATGAGCCTTTAAGTAGCCCCTAAACCCCAAAACCCAAAACCCTACACCCAAAACCCCAAAAACCGTAAACCCTAAACCCTAAGCCCTAAACCCTAAACCCTAAACCCTAAACTCTAAACCCTAAACCCTAAACTCTAAACCCCCAAAGCACAGAATCGAACCTAACAGCCCGGCCTCTCGTCTCACGGGGTCGAACCGACGGTCCGGGTGGCCGGGAACCTCAGACGTTAAGTTTGAAGCTTCCTTTAAGGTTTAGGGTTTAGGGCTAAGAATTCAGAGTTTTAGGGTTTAGGGCGTAGGGTTCAGAGTTTAGGGTTTAGGTTTAGGGCTTAGGATTCAGAGTTTAGGGGTTTAAGGTTCAGGGGGTTCCGTCAGCGGCTCTTTTACGTCTCTGCTTGTTCTTCTTCCGGAACCCTCAGGTCTGCTAACATTGCCTGTACTTGGAGGATCAAGGGACTTTGTAAGTAGGTTGTAGTTGGGGTTATAAGTCCCCTAAGTGGGGTTATCCTAACTATAAGGCTACTTATAACCTTACTTACCAACTCCCATGAGCCTTTAAGTAGTATCGTCAAAACTTGACACGCTCGCGGTGTAAGCGCTGCTTGGTGACGGCCTCCGGTTGCTCTCAAGCTGCAGTTCTTCGTGCCCGGTTTAGGGTTTTCTCGTTTAGGGTTTAGGGTTTTGGTGTAGTGTTTATGATTTGGGGTTTAGGGTTCGTGTGGACTCCCGGGCTGTGGTATGGTTTTGAAGATACTGCCCCGATTTCTCAACTTCCTCAACCCTTTCTTCGAACTGCGCTGTCCTTTATCAATACCTATCAGCTTCAAAATCGCGGTGGGATGTATGCAAATACAAACGCAAAATCTCGTTCAGAAGTATTTACAAGACTACAGAATTATGAGGCCAAACACTGTGATTGATTGAACAAATGATACTACATGATACTCGAACACCAGATGTACACTAACACTAACAGGAGAAATAGCACGACATGCATCGCTTGAAAACTAGATAGCAGGCACCGGCAACTCTTACATACGTGCGTCACACTTGAAAACCCAGAGACTCCAATATCCCTTAATTAAGGGCCTTAAATCATATTAGGGATCCTACCATAATTTAAGAAATATTCCTTAATTAAGGGATATTGGAGTCTCCGGGAAATGCTGTCACCGCATACGTCTGCAACTTTGTACGTCTTCTCGAATCAGATTCGTGCCAGGAGTCTTTATGTATGCTTAAGCTTCCGTGGCCAGGAAAGTACACTGCAGGCTGCACGGTTGGTTCATATCAATTGAAGGGGGGCTTGCGAACATAAACATCTATACTATACATATATATATATGTACAAAAAAATATATATATATATATATATATATATATATTATGTATATGTATTAATGTGTGTGTGTACGGAGGGAATGCAGACATATAATGCTACGAATTATGTAAATCCATTTATCCGAAACCTGAGCCAGAAGGGCCTTCAGCCAAAACCGGACAACGAAATAGAAACGCCTAAGCCCTAAACCCGAAACCCTAGGCAGAAGGGCCTACAGCCAAAACCGGACAACGAAATAGAAAAGCCTAAGCCTTCTAAACCCGAAAACCTAGACCCTACCATGCCCAGTTGCTGAAGTAGGAAATTTGCTTGGAGAGATTGGCGTCCTGCGGCGGATCTTTTGGCATCTTGGCTTTAGGGTTTGGAGGTTTAAGGCTTAGGGTGTAGGACACAATGCAGTATTTACATGCACTCCAGACCCCGATGTTCACAGCAGCAATTACTTCTACCAAGAATCAACAGAACAACGGTAGCAAACACCATCCTGACCGTCAACAAAACTGCAAAAAAGAAACGCCCAAAACCCTGCCTGCCTGAACCCCGCGCCTTGCATCACATAAAACCCTAAAGCACAAACCAGAAACCCTAAACCCCCAGCAGTCCTAAACCCAAACTTGGGGCCCTTACTAAATCGAATGGCGCTCAGGTCCCAATATTCACCGCCGGGTCCAATTCCGCCTAACATATTGAGGGGTATTCGAAACTGGGTCTCTGGATAATCAAAAATAAAACGCCCAACAAATTCCCTTCAAACTATTAGAACACATCCTTGTGACCACATATATAAAGCCTCTGAGACTCCAGTATCCATAATCAACCCTACTCCCACAACCCTAAACCCTATACTGTGAACCCGGAACTCCCCCTAAACCATGAACTTGATCCCTTGACAACAAGCCCTAAACCAACACCCATGAACCCTAAACTACAAACCTTAATTTTAAACCCAAATCCACGAAGCCTAACCCCTTTACAGAACCCCTCTAGCTCCCGTGTACAAACCCGAACAGACTCCTTTGAAGGAGCTGATAACAACCCTTGAAGATCCTGTTAAAGTAGCTGATAGGCACCCTAATAGAACCCTTTACGGGAACTTCTAGGGACTCTTATGGATCCCTTTTAAGGAACACCTGGGAACAATGATAGATGATCCCTTAAAGGAACATATAAGGAACTTGACCTCTACACCTAATGAAATATAGGGGCCTTAATATATAATTACAATCGGGTTTTGGGGCCCATTATCCTATAGTTATAATAAGGCGAATCCCCAAATGTATCGGCAATTATTTAGGCCTCTAAATTCAACCCTCATAATGGCCCTTGTAGTAATCCTCATACACCCCTTTAATAGGGAACCTTTTAAAGGAACCCTCTAGGCAATTATTTAGACCCCCATATGGGAGTTCCCGAAAATAGGGATCCTAATATACTGCCCTAAATAGTAGGACCGTTATTATAAGGGCCCAAAATACGGTACCCCCTAGTTTTCGGAAACTCCAAACCCTAAACCCTTTTTAGATCCCTTTAAGGAACCCTTATAGTACCCCTTCTAGGAACCCTTTAAAGGAACCCTAAGGTACCCCGCTTATTAAAACCACAAGCTGCCAGCCCAGTCCTCTCTCGGGTGGCGGCTTCGGGAGCGCTGGGCAACTGGACATTCAAGCTTCGGCCCAGCTCCTGCTAGGGGTTCCTTTAAAGGACCTATAAGGGTTCCTTTAAGGGGGTCTATAAGGGTTTAGGGTTTAGGGTTTAGGGTTTTGGGTTTAGGGTTTAGGGTTTAGGGTCTACCTGGACCCTAAGGAACCTGCCTTTTTAGGGTTCCCTAATATGAGTTCTTTATATAAGTCCTTAAAAGGGGGGCACCCTGACCCTGACTAGGAACTGCTGTAGGGGGCGAGTAATGTAGGCTATGTGGGAACCTGATTTAAAAAAAAACCGCGGGCCTATGACCCCAAAATAGTAGGATTCATATAAATAAAGAACCCTAAATCAAGGCCCAAGGTTTCTTCATCAGCTTCCTACATTATTCCCCAATTGGGAGGAGATAGGAGTCTCTGATTTCCCACCTTGCTGAAGCCTTGCATTGGTGTCCTATAGTATCTTGGTCGCAACTGAGGTTGGAGGCGTCCGTGGTGAGTTCCTCACAATGGTAATCCTAGCTGCTGGTGCTGATGTGGATAAGATTAATTATGAATATTGATGATGGTGGTGGCGGTGGCGGTGGCGGTGGGGAGGGGGATGGCGGTGGTGGTGGCGGTGGTGGTGGTGGTGGTGGTGCGTGATTCGATTGAAGCCTGGCAGCAACCACAATGCTTGAAATTTGCAGTGAATGACGACGTGCTTGCCGACATAGCAAAGCTACTGTTTGCTTCCGACGCCTTTTGTTGCAGAAGACGTTGTGCCAGCGTCACTGCGGGCAGATCCAAAGCGGGCGATGGTGATGCAAGCCGTAAACCCTCCCCGTGCTCTCTTGGCACGCTCGACCATACTTGGGTCATAAGTACGGCTAGACTTCCAGCTATAACTTTACTTCGTATAGTACATCCCTTGGGTAGTTAAGGGTACCATAGGGCTCAATAACAGGGTACACTGTAATTAAGCTGTTTATCAGTCATAAGTACTTAAAGGCTCTAAGTAAGGTTATATGTAACCCCACTTGGGGAACTTACAACCCCTGTTATAACCTACTTACTAAGTCCCATGATCCTCTAAGTATCCTAAACTTCCCCCCTTCTAGAACCCTTCTAGATCCTTTAAAGGAGCCCTTTAAGGAACCCTACTTACTAAGTCCCATGATCTACACCCTAAACCCTAAACCCTACACCCTTAAACCCGAACTCTAAACCAAACCTTCGCCAGCGAGGCAGCAAGTCTCACAAAAGAACCGCTACGATCACCCCCGAAAGCTGCCTGTAGCCGGTCTAGTAAGTGTATGATTCCTTAAAGGGTTCCTTTAAGGGATCTATAAGGGTTCTATAAGGGGAGTTTAGGGTACTTAGAGGATCATGGGACATAGTAATTAGGTTATAATTAGGGTTATAAATCCCCTAAGTGCGGTTATCCTAATTATAACCTACTTAAAACCTTACTTACTTAGTCTCATGAGCCTTTAAGTAGGGTTTGGGAAAAGACCTACTTGTTTAGGATTCTCTATTATGGTTTCATAGTTTCCTAAAGTCTTAAGAAGGTGGACCCTAAACGCTAAAACCCTAGACCCGTCTGCAAAAAGCCAAACAAAGCCGAAACGGCCCGAAACCTCAAGTGAACCCAGACCCTAATATTGCGTTCATAATAGGGACCCCTTGACAGGTACCACAGGGTTCAATAAGAGGGTGCTCTTTAACTAAGGTGTTTATAAGTCGGCGTAAGCCCTTAAACCCAAGACCCTAAATCATTATCTCCTACAGTGAACCCCTAAACCCTAAACCCTACACCCTCAAGCCTTGAATCCCTCAAAGCCCTTGAAACCCAACTCCTGTAATAATCTGAGGTTTGCTCTGATCTCCCAAAAAAACCCTGTACGTCCATTAATTAGTAACCCTAGGATAGCCGACATAAAAATCCCTGAACCTCGAGCGAACCTCGAGCTAAAAGCTTACAGGCGTTCATCACTCAAAACCACATCCCCCATAGACTCCTGAGCCTCCCCACCCCTCCATCATCGAGCTTCAGTAGGGCTTAGGGCTTTTCAAAGGGGAAAAGGGGGGACCCTTAATGGGGACCCCTACCCTATAATGGGCTATATAAGGAGTATATAATAGCTATATTAAGGGTATATACCTAGGGGTCCTTATTAAGGGTCCCTCCTTTTACCCTTGGAGTTTTCATTCTGAGGGCCCAAACCCCTATGAACTCCCTGTGCATGTGGGGCTCCTCGAACCGCATTTGTAAAATACCTCGGCGCCCAAGGGGGCGGATCACTTGGACTGTTTTATTCTGTTGTTTGGACTTTCCCCCACTCTGTGTACGGTCGCTACGAAGACGACTCCAATCAGTCGTATCCTCAGCACAGCTGTGACTGCTGCCATTTCACCTCATTAGCAGTAATATTCAGGTTTTATGAGCACGTGCTATTAGGGTCGAGGGCGAGGGTTGCTTGGGCTTTCGGGGCCTCTCGTCACATAGAGGGGATCGTGGTCTGATTGGCCTTTTGACACCCCTAAAGACGGGACCGAAGGTTTGGAGCACCGAAACCCTAAACTCCCAAACCCCAAGCCCTAATTTGCACCCAAAGAACGGTCAGAATAGGGTTTCAAAAGCCAAACCCTAAACCCCAAACCTTAAACCCTAAACCCTAAACCCTTAACCTTAAACCCCAAAACCCAAAACCCTAAACCCTAAACCCTAAACGATTAGCATGGCCAAGGCTCCTTCGACTTCACCAAGGGACAGCTGCACGGCCTTGGGGGGCACGACAAGATGCAGAGTTTCGGGTTTAGGGGCTTAGGGGTTTAAGGGTTGAGGGTTTGGGGTTTAAGGCTTAGGGGTTTAAGGTTTTCGGGCTCAGGGCTTCGGTTTAGGGTTTAGGGTTTAGGGGTATTGGGTTTCGGGCTCAGGGCTTCGGGCCGGGGAGGTGACCCAGAGACTCCAATATCCCTTAGTTAAGGAATATTCCCTAAAGTATAGTAGGATCCCTAAAATGATTTAAAGAATACTCCTTAATTAAGGGATATTGGAGTCTCCGGGGAGAAAGAAGGGGGTGTTGTAGAGCTGTTGCAGAGCTTCGGATGAGCGTTTCTGGGGCTTGGTAGGTTTTGGGATTTTCATGAAACCCTAAACCCTAAACCCTAAACCCTAAACCCTCACGGATGTAGGGTTGCAAGTTCGAAGGTTTAGGAGTCTTAGGGTGTAGGGCACTAAGCCCTGGGGCTCTGAATCCTCAAGATACCCTACAGCCTGAAACGCTGTATAATGTAGGGGCCTCAATAAGTAGGTAGAATAGGGTTTCGGGGCCAATGATACCGTTCTAGTTCTAAGTAATATTAAGGAACCCCACTTTAGTATAGGTACTTCATAATGCCCTCTACATTACCAAATCTCAACAGCCCTGAGCTCTCGGTCCCAAGCAGGAGCCTCAGGTAGGGTGGGAACGACTAGCTCGGTGTCGTAAAAATGGTTTGGGGGTCTTAGGGTGTAGGCTTTAAGCTTTTAGAGGTCTTAGGGTGTGGGCTTTCAGCCGTGCCTTGTAGCTGATGTTGATTGTTGAGGTTTTTGCTGGGACTTGCGTCGTTTGGGAGGCTCGTCGCCGTTGCTGGCTCCAGTTCCTGTACCCTGGAGCGTCATCGTAACAGAGGCGGAAGCAAAGCTAAAGCTGCAAGAACCAGTGGCATTTGTCCGTCGTTTGGTAGCAAGCGGAGCAGTTCTGATAGTGCTGCCAGGAGTGGAAGACAAAGTAGTCGTCGCGTCGTCGTCGCAGTAGTCGTAGTTGTCACAGCCGCCATAGCCGTAGTAGTAGTAGTAGTAGTAGTAGTAGTAGTAGTAGTAGTAGTAGTAGTAGTAGTAGTAGTAGTAGTAGTAGTAGTAGTAGTTGGAGTACTAGTAGTAGTAGTAGTAGTAGTAGTAGTAGTAGTAGTAGTAGTAGTAGTAGTAGTAGTAGTAGTAGTAGTAGTAGTAGTAGTAGTAGTAGTATCAGCAGCAGTAGTAGTAGTAGGAGTAGTAGTAGTAGTAGTAGTAGTAGTAGTAGTAGTAGTAGTAGTAGTAGTAGTAGTAGTGGTGGTAGTAGGATTAGTAGTAAAAGGAGTAGGAGTAGGAGTAGGAGACCGCAACCAATTGCCACGTCTGGGAATAGAAGCAATGATATTGATAGCGGGCCGGTAGAAGTCAAAAGGAGTAGTTCAGGCTGGAAGGGCTAAACCCTAAACCCTCAATCCCTGAGCCCTAAAACCTGAACCCTAAATCACGTCCCAGCCACTCGCGATAGCGAGTCCTTGAGGGCTGTCATCGCTGAAGCGAGTGCATCATCGAGTTTCGCTGGCGGCAACTGCAGACCTTGAAGTCTGAGAGTCTTAGACCGAGCTTCAATTAGGGTTCAGGGTTTATGCTTGTTGTTCGATAGCTGTGTCTGCATCAGGTACCATGCGATATGGCGCGATTACTCAATGAGGATTAAAAGGCAGGAGCCCCTATCAAGTTTGCTGCAGCAAATGTGGGGTCAGACATGTCGTGTCAACGCCAGCGATTTGAGACAGCTGGTGCTTGTATGTGTCATAGGCGAGGTCGTAAATTCGCTGGCAGGCGCATAGGATGCGGCATGTTCTAATTCCACGGGGGGGTTTTGCATTCCAGGGCTGTGCTTCAGATGTTCTATACTGAACTTAGAACCCTAGCAAAAATTATAATGTTGCCTGTTTCTTAGGGATTACAATAACCAAAAATTATAATTTTCTTAAGTACCCCTAAGGTTATGTTATGACATTCAAAGTTGCATTCTTCAGATTTCCGCGTCGTCCAAAAGGGTCTTGGACGACAGAGAATGTAGGACATCCCACTCAAGTGTCGGTGCGATGTTCCGCTTGCTTCGGCTGGAGATGAAGGGCACCCAAAACCTTTGATCAACACACTCCAGCAGCACAGAGAGACTCAACCATCCCCTGAGGAACACAGCTCAGGGTTTAGGCTTAGTTGCCGAGTTCATTAGCCCAAAGAAGTTTAAACTTTCAGTTTTAGACAGGGTTTCATTGTTGCAGAAAGTTTAAAGTTCACCAACCCAACTACTAAGTAGGGCTTGAGGACTAGGGGATTTGGATCTAGAACTTTGAGCTCAAAGCTTGGGGATGGAGGATTTAAAGCTTAAGGCCGAAGCTTCTGGCTCCCCCAATGCAAGGACCCTTTACAAGCATGCGAGGAATGTTGAGCTTGAGGCTTTAGGGCTTAGATTAGGGTTTGGGGAGTTGAAGCCCTAAACCCTAAAACCCTAAAACCCTAAACCCCTGAGCTCAGTAGACCGCTGCGAAACCTGATGAACACCTTCAAAACCTATTGAACCCCCATTGGGCCTCCAGAAGAAACCCCAATGCCACTGAACAGTGCAAAGCCTAAAACCTCACCCCAAACCCCCTAAACCCTGAACCCCCTAACCCCCCAAAAACCACCAAACAAAATTACAAAAGGAACTCCCAAAACCCTAAACCCCCTAAACCCTAAAGCCCCCTAAACCCCTAAAGCCCCTAAACCCTGAAGCCTACAATATCAGCCCAGAAGCTCGGTGGGCATTTCGATGGCTTCGGCTGTTCGAGGCCGTCGGGGCCCTGGCGCTGTTTCTTCTAGTGTGGACCCTTAACCTTGGGATCCCTACATACCTACTATACACTCTAAGGGTCCATACTAGGGGCCCATACTTCTAACCTTAGATGATTTAAGGAACCGTAACGGTCCTTACATTTCCTTGACCTTGACGTCCTTTACGGAGTCTGTATTACGGCTTAAGCGTGCCCTGCTTTTTGGGGTTTCGGGTTTAAAGTTTAGAGGTGTAAGGCTGCTAGGGTTTTGCGGCTGACGATATGGCTCTCGGACTCCAAGAGTTGACTTGCGAAGCTGCATATATAATAACCCTACGGGTCCCAAAGACCCAATAATTAAGTATTCGGTTTTAGGATACTGTAGTAGTTATGTAGGTTAGGATTTTGGAGAGTGTATGATTTGGGGTTATAATAAGAACCTACAAAAAAGTAGGGTTGGTAGTTTAAGGTAGTAGCTGAAAAAGCCCGGGCACTGTCGCCAATGGCTTCCTCTTCCATAAGGCTCCACTTCTATCACCACAGGGCGATAAGGGTTCTATAAGGGGGAGCTTAGGTTACTTCAAGGATCACGGGACGTAGTAAGTAGGGTTATAACTGCGGCTATAAGTCCCCTAAGTGGAGGTGTCCGAATGAACACCATACTTTTAAGCTTACTTCATCCCACTGGGTTTTTAGGTAGTGGTCACCACTACATGTTCCCTGGTACACGTGCATCTGCGTTCCCTGGACTTTCCCGGCTATTTGAAAGGACGCCTTCCATACTAGCCTATCGCCAGAAGCAGCTGTATCACAGAAAACAAAACCTCCAATCACCGATCCAATGCCCCGACAAAAGAACTGAAGCCTTAAAAAACCGACAACTGAAACAATGCGCTAGAAACTCCGAAACCACGCATAAAAGACCTGAACCCCGAACCACCACAAACAACAAAAAAACACAAAACCTGCAAACCTTATCAAACTTATGTCAGAGAAGCACCCTGAAGCCGAAACCCACCCCCAAAACCCTAAATCCCAAAACCTAAACCACAAACCCCAAACCATGCAACCCAAAACCCTAAACCCCAACCCAAAAGCCCTGAAACCCTCCACCTAAAGCCCCGAACCCTCAACCCCAAACCCAAAACCCCGAACCCAAACCCCAGAACCCAAAAACCCCAAAAGCTCAAAACCTTAAAAACCCAAACCCCGAAACCCCAAACCCAAACATCAATACCCAAAAACCCCAAACCCTAAACACCAAAAACCCAAAACCACTGTTCAAACTCCAAAACCCCAACCCAAAAACACACAACCCCAAAACCCAAAACACCAAAAAACCACAAACCTCAAAACCCTAAAATCCCCCACCCGCCCAGGGGAGCCGAAGGCCTCTTGCGGCGGCGGCGGCGGCCGCGCTAGACCCCCGAGGTCGGAGGGGCCAGGTGGCCTGGCTTCTTCGGGAATCAAGGTTATTTTTACCTTAACCTGCCAAGACCTACATTTTTGTAGGGTCCCCTATAAATTCCATATTAGGGCTTATAATAAGAACCTACAAAAAAGTAGGGTTTGGTAGTTTAAGGTAATGTCAAGGTTTAGGGTTCAGCGTTTAATGATTTAGAGTGTGTAGCAGTATGCGTGCGGTGGGTGCGCTTCTTTAAACATGGGGGGCGTGCCCACTTATCGGGCACTTGCGTCAGGATCACCCCAACTATGCTCAATTAGGGTTCAGGGTTGCGGGTTCCCCTCCTCAAGGGGGGCTTTCTTGCTGTCTGCTTCTTTTCGCAGTTCGATTCCTAAGCGACCACATTTTACAGCAAACCACAGCTGAGACGGATTGGTGTCGGGTTGTAGGTCCTCGCGGCCTGTGCCGGCCGCTCGACGACAAGCAAGGGTTTCCAACAAACAGCCTGCCCCTTGTGCCCTGTTGCTCGAAGCGTCGCTTTTCTCCCACCCCAGCCAGTCTGCTGGTATCAGGGCAGGGCAGGGCAGAGCAGTCGTGGGTTTTTGTCGCTGACGTGAGTGTTGTGTGGGGCGTAGCCGAATCATTTTCGTCCCTGTTTTTTTACCTCCTGTCGAAACGCTCGGCCGGGGGCCTCGGTCGGAGCCAAGAGCGCCCATGCAAATGGACAGCGGCGCTTTCGGCAGTTTAGGGTTTTAGGGTTTAGACTTTGAGGGCTTAGTGTTGCAATTGGGTCAGGGATTTTAAGGTTCTAGGCAAAGGTCTGGTTAGGACAAGTTGAGACAGGGCCCCTTCAAAAGGATCTATAAGGGTTCCTTTTCGTAAGGTTTCCTTTCAGGGCTCCTTGAATTCCTTTTGGGGTGCCTGTTTCGGGTTCCTTCACGGGTTTATACATGTTTTTGCATTTTAACATAAAGCCCGTATGCCCCATAATAAAGGAATATATGCAGGTTTCATTTGGGTCACTCAAAGGCTCATGGGACGTAGTATGTAAGTGACAAGTATAAGGGTATAAGGAAGATAACCCTACTTTTTCGGTTTCAACTGGGCCATGGGGCTCCTTTAAGGGTTGCATAAGTTAAGGCTTTTATGGAGCCCACGTGCCCCCTAACAAACTGAGGAATCTACATCAAATTATAAAGGGCTTCATAGCCTCTATTAATAATTATGGTAGTTTCCGAAAATAGGGGGTACCTTATTTTGGGGTCCTTATACTAAGGATCCTACTAAAAAGGGTACTATAGTAGGGTCCCCTATTTTCGGAAACCCCCTTATGTTCCTTGATGAGAGGGTTTTGGGCCCTTGGGGAATGCGCTTTGATCTTGAGGACCTCGGGTCGGATGCTGAGCATCACTGAGCTTGGGATTGACGGCTTTGGGTGCTTTATTACTACCCTAGGGATCTAAGGACTCAAATACTAAGGCTTTGGGGCTCAAAGACCATACTATATAAGGCTTTTGGGCTATTTTGATCCCTAGGGTAAGGGCTTAAATAAGTACCAATACTATTTGGGGGTTTCTAATTATTCAGGCCCCTATATTATTGCCCTAATTCAGTTCGGGTTTCGGGTTGAGGGTTTAGGGTGCTTTGTTGCCCCAATTCAGTTGGGGTTTCGGGTTTAGGGTTTAGGGTGCTTTATTGCCCTAATTAAGTTAGGGTTCAGGGTTTAGGGTTTGGGAACTTTACAAGCAGAAATCCAGAAGCTTATAAACTGCCTGCACAGCCTGCCCTAACGCTCCTAAGACGGTTAGGGGCTTTCTGAGGAAGGGTTTGGGCTTTGGGGCTAAGGTTTAGGATCTCACTACGAGTGTCCAGGAGCATTTGGGTGAACTCTACTTAGAGGATCATGGGACTTAGTAAGTAGGTTATAATTGGGGTTATAAGTCCCCTAAGTGGGGTTATCCTAATTATAACCTACTTATAACCTTACTTACTAAGTCCCATGGGCCTTCAAGTAAGCCACAGAACTGCCCCAAGTCTCTGAACCAGACCCCTTCTCTAAAGCCTATAAATTAGAAGCTGCCCCCACTCTGTTATAGTGACCATAAGGATTATATAGGATTATATTAGGGCCCCATTATACTCCTATTATACCACTATTACAGGGTGGGGGCAGCTCCTAACCTATAAATCCTGAATCGCAAACCTTATGGGCACCTCGGCCCAAAACCCGCACCGGTGGAAAAGCTGCTGCATTCGGACTGCGGGCCCATCCTCAGATGTGGAAGCCCCAAACTTCCTAAAACCTAAACCCGGCTAAACCCTAAAACCCTAAACCCCAAACCCTAAACCCCTAAGCCCTGAAAACTTTAAAGCCCGAAAGCCTAAAACCTTTACTTGAAGGCTCATGGGACCTAGTAAGTAAGGTTATAAGTAGCTGATAATTAGGATAACCCCACTTAGGGGACTTATAACCCCAATTATAACCTACTTGCTAAGTCCCATGATCCTCTAAGTAGGGTGCTGAACCCAGGGCTCCATTTGCTTGACCTTGGTTTAGGGTTTAGGGTTTAGGGTTTAGGATTTAGGGTTTAGGGTTTAGGCAAAACCCGGAAGCCCCGAAGAGCCTAAAACGCCCGAAACCCCAAAGCCTCATCATACTATAGCGGCCTTAACAAATTACCTATACTAGGATGCCCAGTGACCTAGGAATAAACAAGGATCCTAGTATACTATTCTAATTATTCTAAAAATTTTGGGGCTTCCTTATTATAGTTGTAGTATCCAAACCCTATTCGAATTACTAAGGCCCCTATATCACAGCCCAGCAGCTGTTGTGCGAGCTCGTCTAACCGCTGCACCATCCAGGAGAAGTTACACCTGGAAAGATCGTCAAGGGCTGAAGGGTTTAGGGTAGAGTCTCGGTTTAGGGTTTAGGGGTTAGAGGCGTAGGTTTCGGGTTGAGGGTCAGGTGATGAAGGTAGCTGGGGTTAAACGTCTTCTATAAGCCTCCAAGTTGTGATTCCCCCACCTACCTTCCTCCCTCCTGTTTCGCCCTTGCAAAAACTCTCCCCTAAACCCCAGACCCTGAACCCTAAAGCCTTAATACCCAGCCTTGCAGAGGTGCATTGGCATGAAAAATCCAAGGGTAGAAGGAGGGACCCTTAATAAGGACCCCTAGGTATATACCCTTAATATAGCTATTATATACCCATTACATAGCCCGTTCTAGGGTAGGGGTCCCAATTGAGGGTCCCTCCTATTTTATTTTGAAAAAACGAAGCCCTCTTCCATGGCCTCCGGCCCCACTTCTGCCCCAAACCCCAAACCCTGTAAGCTCTTGACAACTTGAGAACCCTTGTCCGGAACAAAAGAGCCCTTAAAGGAACTCCTCAAGGAACCCTTGTGGAGCCTGAAACTCCTCTTGGAGGTTCGGGGGACTTAGTAAGTAGTAACTATTTATTTTATAGACTTATAAGAACCATAGCCCCAATTAGGATGCCTTTTAGGGGACTTATAACTTATAACTCTACAACATATTGCCTACTTACCTACTTACTGAGTCCCCTGACCCTCCACGCTCTAGAACAAGTTGTAGCACAATTCGGGTAGTTGTCAAAATTATGGTCCCTTTTTGGGTACCCTAAATATTAGGTGCCGTACTATAATAGGAGCCCAAAAGAAGACCATAATTTTGGCAACCACTCATTCGGGCCTCGAGCCCGAAACTCGAAACCCCAGACGTTGACATGGAAGTCCCCTCAGTCTCCTCTTTGCAATCCTCCATAGAATGGTCAGGGGTTCCAGGAGGTTACTTAAAGGCTGATGGGACTTAGTAAGTGAGGTTATACGTAGGTTATAATTAGGATATAACCCCACTTAGGGGACTTATGACCCAACTGAAACCTACTTACTAAGTCCCATGATCCTCTAAGTACCCTAAACTCGCCCTTATAGATCCCTTAAATGAACCCTTTAAGGAACCTTACACTTACTAAGTTCCATGATCCTCTAAGTAGGGTTTAGAGCTCAGGGGCTTGACTAGGATGCCCAGTAACCTAGAATAAAAAGGGCTCCCTCTTTGGTATTGGGTAACTTTATAAGGAACCTAGGACTACAAAAAGGGAGTAAGGGTACTAGTGGGCATCCTAGTAAGGTAGGGTACTGTAGGGGTCTTAACAAACTAGAATAAGGTTCCTTGATAGGGTTCCTTAAAGGGGTCTATAAGGGATCTATACTAGGGTTCTATGGTGTCGAGGTTCAAGTTCAGCTTCAAAGGTCCAGGAATGACACAGGGGCCTGAACAGCTGCCAATACTACTATACAGGGCTCCTTCTGATAAAGCTCTACATATATATATATATATATATGTGTATATATTACAGACACTATCATGTAACCCCGACGCTACGGCCCGAATATGCGGGTTTACTGCTCAGGATTTAGGGCTTACGGTTGTCGGTTTTGGGCTTTGGGAGAGGCTCAGCACATTCGGCGGTTTGGCCTAAACCCTACACTGCGTACCCTAAACCCTAAGTATCCTAAACCCTAAACCCTCGAATCCCTAAGTACCCTGGCTGCTTTCTTGAATCGGAAGGAAAGGCGCCGTGAGAGCTCCAGGAGCTCTGCCTGCTTCATCATACTTAGAGGATCATGGGACTTAGTAAGTAGGTTATAACTGGGCTTATAAGTCCCCTAAGTGGGGTTATCCTAATTATAACCTACTTATAACCCTACTTACTAAGTCCCATGATCCTTCAAGTAGAGGAGCTAGGATTAGGGTTTAGGGGACCCTTGGGGTCTAGTAAGGTTCCTTCAAAAGGATCCTTAAAAGGATCCTATCAGGGATGTCATAGCTCGTTTTTGGAAGAGGGGCTTAAGGCTTTTTATTTGCGGACCTTTTTCTGGGTTAAAGGCTTAGGGTTTAGGGGTTAAGGTTTAGGGTTTGGGGCTTTGTGGTTTGGGGCCTGCGACGACGACCATAATCACCAGCATTGTGGAAAGATGAGACGAGGAGAATGGCGATGATATTGCGAAGATGGGGATGATATTGCGAAGATGAGACAGCCTTGATTGTGACGACGATGTTCATGACGACGACGAACAGCATGTTGATTGACAGCAACCAAGTAAAATCCCTACTGCCATTGCTGGTTGTGACTTCACGGGCCCAGGGCATGTTGAGAGGAGGACATCGGATTTCAGAATATCAAAAGATGCTTGCTTATGGGCTGGCGCGGCAAGCCCTAAACCCCTAAACCCTAAAGTGATAAGCTCACCATAGCTACTGCTAGAATCGATGGCATGCCGATGATCGATGCCTGCTGGTGCATCGTGTGCATCAAGTTGTACTTAATGAATCTCGGCGCTGTCTTTGAGTCGTGGACCCAACCTCGGATGCCACTCCAGGATTTAGGGTTCAGGGCCGGTTTCGGGTTAGAGAGTTTAAAGGTTGCCCAGCCTGGCTGAACATGTGTGAGTTGAAATTTTAAGGAGTCGCCTGTAAGATGTTTCGGCTGCTGCTGCTGATGCTGCTGCTGTTGCTGCTGCTGCTGGCAGAAGCAAGAACAGTGGCAGAGATAGCAGCGCCCTTAGCCGAACTCAAAGCGAGAATGCTACTGCAACTGGTAGCAAGCAAAAATGCCAGCATCAGAGCAAAGATCTTTTCATGTTCACTCTTTATTTTCCGTCCAGCAGCGGCTGAGTGGAACAATGAACTCCTCGACCTCAATGGCACCTCAGGAAGAGCCACGTGCGATGGAAAGCTCGGGTTTACTGTCGTCAGTGTTCAGGGGTTTAGGAGTTTAAGGTTTAAGGTTGAGGGTTTAGGGGTCTACGGGTTTAGGGCTAAGGGATATACGGTTTCGGGTTTGGCATTGGGAAATTTTCTGACGAACAGGAAGGCGCAACGGTAGGGAGAGGTTCAAGCGCTCCGGCTGCTGGTGCTTCCGCCAACACCACCAGCACTACCTGCTGCTTCGGATACTCCTACATAAAGGCTCAGGGGACTTAGTAAGTAGGTTCTAGTTGGTTCTATAATTCCCCTGCGTCCCTAAGTGGGGTTATCCTACGTCTATACAGTACAACTGAACCTCCAAGTTCCACCGCTGCTACTCCTGTCAGGACCGACTACTACAGCGGAAACAGCATCATCCCAAATACCTGGGATTGCAATCTACCGCTCCTGACCTGGGCTTCGAACCCGGGATGATGCGGTGAAACAAGGCATGTTGTGTCCATTGCTGTCGGCGTGTGCCTCTACCCAGACACGAACGGCATGCACTACCACAACATGTTCGCCCCAGAAAAGCACATAAGCGATAATATTAGATTGGGATGTCCAAGCGCAGCCCCCTTATAATGAAGCCCAATCAAGTAGGGATGTATGATATATGCTTATGTCCTTTTTTAACCTGTTTGGAAATCCGATACCAGGGTTTAGGGTTTGGGGGTTTAGGCCTGCACCCTCAACCTTGAACCCTAAACCTAGGGCTTGGGGAGAAAAGCCCCTACTCCGCAAATCCGACAGACCCAGCGTCCCCACTAGCCCAGAATCTCAGGACCTCCCGGGAAAACCCGACACCCAAATGCAAAATCCTAAACCCTAATTGCAGCTCGACAGTTTAAGTACTTTCTGGGTTGGATGTATTAAACAGTTCCCAGAAACGAAACACGTAATTTAGAACAAACGCCGCTGAAAAGTTTTGTGCACCTAGCTATAACCTGTGTTGATGAGATACTGATTCCAAAAGTCGGGAATGAAACCCTGCCACACTGCTAAACCCTCGACACGACACTCCTAAAGTTCAATTGGGTTCAGAGTTTAGGGCCTGGGGGTCTCGCGATTTGGGGGTATGAGGTTTAAGGTTATAGGTTTCGGGCTTATAGAAATTTAGGGCTTAGCCCCCTGAAAACACCTATAAAGAAGCACCCTAACACTGACCAGACCTGAAAATTCTGCCCCGCCCCCGTCCCCCAAAAACCTAGCAACAGCACAAAACCTAAAAGCAGAAACCCCAAACCCTACACTGAAAGAAAGACAAGCGTGGCACCGGAGCCGTCCACGTCAATCATTTCGAAGAGTTGCCGCAGATCCACTTCCTGGGGTATCAATACGGAGGTGTAGGGCATTTAGGGTTTAGGGTGTAGGCTTCAGGAGTTTAGGGCCAAGGCTTTAGACCTCAAAACTAAAAATCCCTAAACGCAGAAAACCGTTCTTCAGCCTTCACTGCTAGGGTTAATCGAAGCTCAACCCTAAATCGTAAAGGGTTAG